TATATATTTGTAAAACACAAGAATTGTGGTTAAGTGTTGAGCGTGCCAGGGTCGCGGTGCTTTTTCGTAATGAAAATCGTGATGATGATGATGGTGGCGATGGGGATGATGATGACAGTGGTGGTGATAGGAACAAAAATAAATGAAGGAATCTGTTATTGAGTAGAAGAAGCCAGTCAATTAGCGGCCACAGATCAGAGGATGCATGTCGCCGAACAGAAAGTTTGTTGCATTTTTGGCTGCCATTGAGAATAGAGATCTCAAATGATACTATGTCGTATACAAGCATGTATTTAGTAATGCATTGTATTTGCTACATTCGTCTTAGATGCACCAGCCATGAAGAACGGAACTGTTCCTCAAAGGTGGGTCGAGTAGAAGTGTTTTCAGTTGGGATTTTTCCAATGCGCCACGTATATGGTAAACAGGGATCACTAAGTATTCCGCACTTACTATAACGCTTCATGCGGAGGCAGTACATGGCTGCAAGCATGATGAAATACGTTGGTGTCAATAAAAGATTTATTGTATTTATATAATTTTGTTTTATATAATAATAATCTATATATAAATTCAAGTGCCAAGTTTCCGTTAGAAAGAATTCCCGTTCCAAGAATAACATTAGATTACCTAAATGTAGCCTAGACGTAATAATAGCCAAATACATTTGTAGACTAGTATTTCATATTGATACATTTAAAATTGTTGTTGCTTATAACATCTATGACAAGCCTGAAATCATCATCCATTTATCTGCACACAAAGTAACGCAGTATAGTCAGAGTTTTATAAACTATCTACAAATATACCCGTCTCTCGCATTCGTGGCCCCATCAGTGCATAGATGCTACGCCACTCCCCATGTAGTAGCTAAGAAATAAGCATGCAAATTTAACGATTCGGAAGAGGTTTGGTTAGTTCTGACTTTGGTGCTTAAGCCGACCGCGACAACAGCTCAACTCCCCTCGGTGGGTTTCTTCCGTAGGAGAAAGATGGCGGACGCGACCAAATGAGACGGTGCAGCGGAAATCAAGATCAGCGTTGGCACCCGACCGGCGATTGCGGAAGTGTGCATGATGTCCGATCGCCCTTCGCTAAGGGTAGCTCGCTCCATCGTCTGGTCCAACCCTGAATGGCGGAGATACGGAGAGGCAACATAACGGCATGTCTGCCAGCATGTCGTATAATTATAACCGTAACATAAGGGGAACCTCCAGGGCCGAGGCGTTACTGTCGACGAAATGGTCGCGCATAAGACTGTACGCGCGAACTACGCTGGTCGATAAGCCTTCATTCCTTCAATGCGAATCAAGCGACTCAGAACCTTTCATTTGAATAAGCTATCTTACTCTGCACGGATCGAGGTGGTACCTTATACTACTAACAGGATGGCAATAATCTTATTGTCGTAACGGTAAAAAGCGGAGGTAAGGAGAATACGACCATGCGTGGCCCCGCCGACGGAAATCATGGAGCGTGAATAAATACATACGTATGAAAAATACCTGCATGTCCGCACCAACATTAAGCATATTTCTGCTACATGCAGAGTTTGCAGAAGCTGGGCCAGAATCTGCTCTATGTTCTTCAGGCAGGTCCCTCAAAAGTGGCGTGACCTCTACGCGGTGCAGCATCATGGTAGACGAGATTTGGGTCATAACCCAACGCCAGTGTAGGTATTCGAAGACGAGCTCGCCTCCGACTACATACATACATACATATATATATATATATATGTGCTCTAAAACAGTGGCGCTATTCGTTGCTCTCACAGACAGCATCGGCCTCAGTCGGTTCCCGGTCTCGATGTCCGTCACGATACAATGGGATAGTCGAGCTGGGGCTGGCTGACTGATCGGGAGCTATTGTAGTGCGCAACTAGGCAGTGGTGGAGCTTAGCGAGAGTGACATATCTTGGTCCCATGTTAGTTTCTCACCGTGGTTCCTAACTTTGCAACAATTTTTGTAGTTGGCTCGAGCACTGCTAGAAGTAATACTCAATCAATAGCGGGTTCAGTGCGCTGTTATACTATGGCACTCAGACGAATGCGCTCGTCTCGGCGACTGTCGGCCGAAACCCTGAGCTCTCGCCGTCCCTAGCTGGGTGCCCTGGGCCTAAAACACATATCTCTTTACAGTGACTCATTTCGACTCTGTCCTCTTCTGAATCTCCCCCTGTCCCCAACTGGTAGATTCAAGGGAGCACAGTGAGCATAAGACCCCGCCTCGGCCACAAAAGAGTAGAGCCCATGCTGGCTGGTTGGGGGGTCCACATTCGAGAGAGGCGAGGCCGAGCTTGTGCAACATTGAATAAGCCAGTGCAAACTGAATAGCACCAGTAGGCCAAGCCACCCGACGCTGCGATTAACTACTGTAAATTTTATTCTATCTTATGCTTAATTCATTAAGAGGAACATCGAGAATGGCATAAATAATGCGACACCGACGAAGTTTATCTAACTGTGATTCAACAACTGCCACACTCTGCGCAAAAATATTAGATACGCTAATTCGACTTGTTGTTTTCGCTGTTTTTCATTGGTAGCTTTAAACCCCTCCTTCCTCCCTCCCATATGGTAATAACTCATATGTAGCTCCTATGAAAAATAATTTTCAAATATCAGATATTTTGTACGTGCTCCGCTAGACCCAACTAAGATTAAAAAAAGTGCATTTACGTGTTTTCCAAGAATATTGTTGATTGATCAATTTAGCGACAACAATGCTAACGTAGAGTCCCAAAGCTGAGACCTTTTGAAGCAGCAAAGAACTTCCCTAAAGATCAACGAGGTCTAGGATTTTTATTTTTTAATTTGTTCTTGCCTGAATTACAGATAAAAGGATGTAGCGTAAAAAGGCGCTCAATTGAAAACTTTTTCCCGCCATTCTCGTTTCGCGTATCATTGCATCGATATTTTCGTTTGTCGTGGTAACATATAGCATTGCGAAGCCAAGCCCCAAGGGTATGTCACAACACAACTTTGCCCGTATCATTGACAGTCGACGGTTGGATTGTAGCCTACGATGTCTACATCTGGGAACACTCCTGAGGGGCGTTGTTGACGGCTCGGTGGTGCCGAGGAGACCATCCCACACGAGCGGCGAGTGGTAAGGACTCAGGAACGAGGCCCACGGGTTTCGCTGAGAGTTGACCGGGTTAAGACTGATAGATCCCGCTTGAGCCATACGAGGTACTTTTACCCATCAGCGATAACAACGATGATGGCGGCGGTGGAACAGTGTTATAACAGCACAGTAGCTTGCAGTGCTAGCAGGGACTCTGTCTGAAGTACGGGCTTCTCCCCTGGCCCCATGGAACCGATGAACTGAGCCGTGTTCGCTGCGACCAAGGTGTCGTGGTGTATGAGGGAGCGAATTTTAACAAGACAGTGGGAGGTGATCAGCGCACCAGGAACAACCTTCCGTATATCTCAGCGAAGAGGCTCTATAAATAAAAGCTTTGAATTGCTAGACTGCACGGTTGAAGAGGAATAACTATATATATACATGTTATTGACAAAGCGTTCTTCGACAAAATGTGCGAAATGGGAGAAGTATGCTGTAAACTACCGGGACCGCACTTAGAAACATTGATTTCCACTTTTTCTGCGATAATATAGAGTAAATTCGTTCCGTTCATCAAATTACTGAAAATTGAACTAATTTCGATTGCTTGTGGTGATACGTTATCAGTTCGAGAGGGTGAAAAAGTTGTAGGCTCATCACAGAATCAGGCAAGATGCGCATAGCAGGACAACGGCTTCCAGTTTATGCTCGTTCGTGTCTAGGCACCAACTACCCGTTTTCCGCTGAGGGCAAACCGGATTAAGTTATGGGGTGAAGTATGGTTCTCTAGTTATGTCTGAGCTTCTAGAGTGAATGAATGAACCAACGTGATTATTCAAATGTACAGCGAACTCAGTGTTTCATCTGAAATCAATTTCACCTCGCACCTCCCCGGGAATGAAGTCAGAGGACCTAGGAATTTTGTACGAGAGTTCGCCACTCTTGCTCACAGTGGTAGAGGCAGCAGCTGCAACTCTAGTTCCGTCCTGGAATATACACATCCGAACAAAGCCTACGAAGTTCGTCGAGTTAGGCCGCCTATTCATACTTCCCATTTCGTCCAACTCACGTCACTAATCTGATTATCGCGAGATCAACTTTTCGTTTAGTCAAAAGCCAGCGATGCGAGGAGCAACGCTACTCCTTTAGGATACCCCTTTGGGGAAATGCAAGCCGGGTTCTTGGTACAGGGAAGTTGAAATTGTCGGCCTCGCCTTTTCTTTGTATTGCCTGCCTGCCTGCCTGCCTGCCTGTCAGCTTGCTCTAGACACGTCTCAACTAGCACCCCGTTGTAAATAGTACAATTTTCTTTATTACATTCAAGTTCGTCTTCGTAGTTGACCTGCACCATATTTGCTTCAGTGGATTGGTCAGTCTTACTTGGTGTGATCTTATTTATGGCCGGTGGCGTGTGGCCTCATCCGAGGCCGCAGAATTATCTTTCGAAATGTAGGGGAAGATAATGTAGAAGGTGATCATGCATAAGTTGTTGCCGTCATACTTATTTCGTTACGCGTAACGCAGTGACAAAGCGGAACAGGCATATGATTCCGATATCGTTAAATGCAGGCTCGTGTTCCAGCTTGGTGCATATCGCCTTGCTCCTTTTCGGTAATTAGTAGTTTTTTGCTACGATGGATTATTATTGTTAACTGGAATATTTGAACATTAAAGGTAAAGCTTCGATGGGACAGGGTTATTATGGCCAAATGATATATTAGCAACGGATGGTTTTTAATTTTCTCCTTTGCTTATAGCACGTGTTTATTTCAAGAGAGCCAACGTTGCCCTACGCTGGGCTTTTCCGCTTAATACGTGTTATTCTGAAGTGTTCAAAAATCAGCAATCAATGTTGATTAGAACGAAACACTTCCATTGGCTAGCGCTCTATATGAAAAAAACCATGGATCGTCTTATGACTATGGTATTGAGAAAAGGTTATCCAGTATAAGCTTTATGATCTAATAGTAGTGCAAGCAATTTACTGCGTTCAGCCTGATCGTCGGCTCAGGTAGTTAACAACAACATAAATCTAAGTCAGCCATATATACATAATAGTTCACGGAGTTTGTGCGATTTCTTTTACTTTATAACGTAGCGAATTTATCAACAGTGTAAGTTATTGTATTGTGTCGTATTTGTCTTTAGGTCCGTCGTGCAATGGACGGCCCGTGCCTTAAATGCAATGAAGGAATCTGTCTCGGCTATCAACCGCATTTTTGGAGGTAAGTTAAATGACATTTCGACGGTGGTCCTTGTAACACGGCTAACGATTTACATCAACCGAACTCACCGAAGCATTGAACCTCCTAGAAATAAATACAGATGTATTGCCCTGTGAGTACTCGTCATCGTCTATGTGCGTCTCAATATTTACCACATATCCATCAAGTATTCATCCCTGAATTTTTGACTTCTTTATGTTCAGGCTTCAGGAACGTAGTTACAGGATTTTCCTTTGGCAAGATTAACCTTCGGCTTGCAGTGCAGGGCTCCGCGATCTCCTTGGTGCGCGTGCTTGACCCTTGTAACCGCGCAGTCTCGAAATGTGTGGCCCTTAGACCATTTTGCCGTACTTCCGATTATAGCATCTGACTAGAAAAATTTTCTGTGAAAATCGTCTTGTGCTAACGCCCGAATTCGAGCACGTGACTTTTTCACAGCTAGACTACAATGCTAGCTTCGTTACGGCCTTAGCGTTTACCAGGACATGAGAACGAAGTCGTATACATATAAGCTGCGGTGCTCAAATTGCAGCTCAAAGTTCCCTCTGATTCAGTTCACTTTTGCCCACTGAAAATACTGTATCATTTTAGCTGAACTAATCTACGCTGACGTCGCTGCTTACCGCCTTGTGCGCAATACCATCATTATCACAATTTTAGGACAAATCTTAAATCTTAGCTGGGTTAAGCGAAGCAGAGGCTTTAGTTTTGATTCGGCCATTACCATTTTGTCCTTTACACGCTGCGTAACGTGTGATTTCTTTCCCTCGTAATTAGGCGCGGACCTTTGAAATAACCGAAACCTTTGTTTCGTCTATGTTTATGTTAGAAACTCCGAAACTAACGCAGTTGCTTGCTCGCTCGCTCCCACCTTATCCCGATCCTATACATCATTGGTCTTGGTCGCTATCGCTATTGGTGATCCGTTTCATTTTTAGGCAACAGCAGTAGCGAATCTCTTCGCCGGTGGTCCTTTAGCCCTCCCGGCGCCAGTGACGTTAGCACCAGACAGTCAGCGCATCATGAGCGCCATTAGCGTCATCCCGACTTTCGCTGGTCTGTTTTGACTTTTTTTCGTCGTTCCGCCTTAACAGAGACGCTGGCGTCCTTTTCTTTAGCGGTGCTGTTTCTGCAGTATCGGAAACGGCAGCCAGATTGGCGGTAGAAGAAGGGCCGTTGTTTGTCTTGACAGAATTGCTACATTCGCTACCGCTACTGCCGCCACCGCCGTCAATGGCTCGGCTGTTTCTGCCGGACGTGGTAATAGTTGTAGTTGAACGAGGGAAGCAGGCATACAGATGCAACGATGTAGCTGTGTTGAGACTGGCAACATCATTGATTAGACAAGCCGTGCGCTCGCTTGTTGTTATTGTTACCGATGCTGCTGCCGCCGCCGCCGATTTGTTGTGGTCGTCGTCGTTTTTGTGGTCGCTTTTAACAGTGTTGTGCTTCTTACCTTATCTCGACAACGACAGCAGCTGCTGCGGTAGCCTGTTTCGATTTATCTGCTAAGCGCCGGCATACATAATACTGACATGGACTGTCGGAAATGATTTACCGACAACGGAACACGATATCACTCGTTTCCAAGCCTGAGCCGAAACTCGAAATAGCAGCACAGAGTTGAAGCTGAAATCCAATGCTGAACAAGAACCCTTATTTGTAATCCGCATGTTGTGAAGCACATACACTCAGATTTGTCGGAATACAAATATGCACGCGTTTGCTATAGAACGTCCGAGTCCGGACGGTATCCGTTTCGATTAAGCACAAGGGGGACGGTAAAGCAAAGCAGAGAAGAAAAACATTAAGCAAGGATGAGAGACAGAAACCGAAATAGCTAGTGTTTAAAGGAAATGAATTTCAATTTTTCAGAGAATACATAGAACAGCACGAAAAACATAGGGAAAAAAAAACAAAAAATAAAGAATCGCATGTAATCCTCTTTAGACGTGGCACGCAGCGTTGAAGAACTCGGTTATATCTTACATGTTTATGCGTTCACGTTGTGCTCGTGTGCGTCCTCTTCATTTCGATAAGAGCCTGTATATAATGGTAAATGCGTTCATCTTTAAGAACTAAAAATGAAAAGAGAATATATCTTGCTCATCATAGATGATATTATATGGGGTCGGTCTTTCTATTGTTTATATTTGGCTTGATGATCATCCAAAGAATCTCTGAGTCAAAAGCAAAACATAAGTTCTTAGTTGCTTACGCAGGCTGGCATGGCGCATTATGTTTTCAATTATTGTTGTCACCAGTTAAGAATCGCAGATAGCGTTTGTCTGCACCACATTATACAATACATACTATAACTCAAAGGACAAAGCTTTTATATAACAGTTATAGGAAGAGTTAGTTATCTTCTTTATTGCGAAGTATATTTGTCTCCTTGGCGGAACTTAACACGGAACTTACTGTCGGTAACCTCCTAGAATTCTATATACGGAATGAATAAGCCTTATCTATAAAGTTAATTTAGCAATGTGGCACTGTTTTTTTCTGACGATGGTCAATCTTTCCGTTGCAGCGAATGCTCATTACTAGTAGGATAGTTCCGTTTGGTGAAAGGTCACACTATAATAGTGAGCCTAACTTGATATATAATATGCCTAGTTTGGGCAATCACGGGGCTAATCGTGGGCGTGTCATATGCCACTCCAGGAGATCTAAACCAGGAACTGGGCGTAAGGATAATTGAAAGCATCATCATTAACGCATGCAGCCGTAAGAAATCTCATAGCGACTGCGTAGTTTTTCATCTCATTTTATGCCTGTTTCAATTGCTATTAATGTGTTTAGTATTTCAAGGGCGTAGTTTAACTGTCAGTTTCTACCAAAATTTCTACTTCGAATCATCGAAAGGCTCCTTTGAACGCCTTTCAGTCTATACTGTCACTACTATTACCAGAAAGCGTCAGTTCTCATCGGCCTGTTCGCTGTAATAGTCAGTGCTGTCATATCTTCCTTACCGCCGTGTTGTCAGGGGCGTAAAATGATCTCAATATCATCGCGTTGATAATAGAGATTTTAGGCTTGTACATTATGCGTTCACATCGTCCTGATCGATTTCTGCATGCGCGGAGATGCTTTTCATTCAGGCTGGCTGCAGGTGAACGCCAGTGTGCCTGTCTTACTATCTTCGTTAAGGTCGTCTCACGTTAACAGCTAATACCTAAGAGTCATGTCGTCGATCACTACAGAGTCGTGAGTCGGCGAGTCTGCCTCCATAGCGCCGCTCGTTTACGAGTGGCCATCACAGAAACGCCGCACACGGCCACGCGATGGTTGGTTGTAAATGAACAAAAAAAAAAATAGAACAAATGAAGATTCTTGAAGCATCCACCGACGTATCTGCGTCGACGAGAACCGTCACGATCGGTGGCGAAGGAGGTGTCCTCCGTTGAAGATGAGACCGAAGTTAAGAAGTAAGCTATCATAAATTTGGTAGCGTGATTCTACGCTCTTCGCTTTTGTGCTGGTGATGAAAATTTTCTAGCAAGCGTTAGGTACGCTGTAACTTCTGTCCGTTGGTTATTCTATAATATTTGATGACATTTTTGAAAACACGCTCTTGATACCTGTTATTAGTAGAGTTACGCAAAGCCACAAAGGGTCGTCGAAGATTTTAGCTATTTTCTAGTTATACGCTCGATTGCGCAAATATAAGTTAGCACGACCCTGAATAACCTATATCTATTACTGTTATCTAATATTTATTGAGAGGTTGATTCGCCTAATTTTGAGTGATTTTTTGTTCGACTTTTTTAAAGGCGTATGAAGTCTAGCGTTACGAATCATGGCACTGATTTGTTGCACCATCTTGTTGTCCATTAGCTACATTGATTGACTATTAGTATGTATGTGCTATTTACTCATATGGTCTTCAGGACATTTTACAACTGCTTCGCGAAACAGGAAGCTTGTTCACAGTATCAATACATCACAAATCAACCACCTCAGTGTGTCTTCATCATCAAGCCGTTTCTATTTTACTATAAGCGTAGACGATTGCTGGTCTGTTTGAGATGTTCCCACAGTTATCGCAATTGCTGCAGGTACCGCTCTAACGGCCACAGATCGATCGCAGTTTCCTCCGTGAATGAGCAGATGCGTGTGTGCGCTTGCTAGAAAAACAGCGCCGGAAAATGTGTTTTTTGGTTACGTGGAGAACCATAATTTCACGGATCGCGGTTCGTTGTTGACTGCTCGCATACACGTGAGACGGAGGAAAACCAAGTATGTAACCATATGTGCAAAAATGCTCCCATATTAAGACAAAAAAAAATCATCTCAACAAAGCGCTAGCTGTTTCTGCGTGCGTACTAATAAAGCTAAGTCTCCGGGACAAAACTGACAGCAATCTCGCCATGATTAGAGAAGATCCAACGTAACAGATAATACAAGCAAGATAAAGAACTGGACAGATCATTGGAAAAAAAATAGATGCAAAAGTCCACGCGTCGAAAATATTATTACTATAAACTCAATCACTGCCGCTCCCAGCATCACTTAGTGTGTCTAAAGTACGACCGCACCGTCGGCTCTTGTCTGTCTAGGTATATTAGCTTGTCAAGGAGTTCTATTTGAAAAAGACTAATCCAAATGAGGAGGAGATGAAGTGACCTATCATTCCACAGCCTCTATCTGAGACGACACTATTACCAGCATCTCACACAGATCCCTCGTCACCCGACGATTATTCTCAGTTTCAGCATGTTCGCTGGTTCAAGGCAGCGAGGTTCCTATTTGTTGGCTTGTCCTATATACACTACAACTACGTCAAGAAGGACAGACGCATAGGGCGATGTTTAGCGTTGTTACGGGCGTGTTTCACACCTCGTAACGAACGACACTTGGCCCAGGCAGGCCCAAAACGACCGGGCCGGCATTACGGCCTGGTGTTATCGCCGCTGCCCACTATAGCACTATTAGTGGTGCTAGTTGAAGCAGAACCAGAGTGATCACGACTATAGCCGCGATTCATGATTACCAACGATTAGCCTATACTTTTAGTACTACTATTTGTCGTCGTTACTATCAGTAGGAAGGCAGCGTTGGGTAAATATATTGAGGAAGTTGGCGAATAAGTCAGAGACACAAAAGCGAGACAAGAACATCTAAAGCCGAATGGCGTATGTCGTTGAACAACTTAACGCAAGAGTAATTGTACGAATATATATATCTATATATTCGTAGCTGGTGTAGAAGATCAGCTCTTTAATACGATTGTTATTTAGCGATGATAAAGAGGTGAAGAAGCCGTGAAGTAGTCTAATGCCTCTGGCGTTCCGTGACGCGTAACGCTTCTATTACGATTGGTTCTTCAACGATTCAAACGGAACGAGTCGCATAAATCATAGTAGCAGCTGAACGTACGGCGCGAAATTAGTCAGACTGCGATCGTCTGGGGCTAGAAGATGGAAACGCGCAAGACAGCGCCCCGCCGCATAACGTGAAAATCACTCTGAATTTAACCTCAAAAAATATCATTCACTAATAGATTTTATTTATATACACTAAGTCTAATGGATAACATTTTCAACGAGTACACGTTATTCGACAACATCTAATGAACGGGTATTTGGATTTTCAGAAGTCTGCCATACGAGGCCATAGTTCCTCCAGATGCGTTGGTATCACCGCAGTAACCAAAGGTTGTTTTATCTGTCCATAGGCTTTCCTTCATGCTCCTAATGAAATATATGGCTGCATCAATCATCGACTGGCAATCATATTATTCGTATATAATAGAATACGGCAGTACTACTTGGAGGGAGAGGGGCGGCGAAAGGCTGGCCTTACGAGCCGTCAACCGGTGTACGAATTTTATTAGGAGCGGCAACAGAGACTACAGGACGAACGGGTAAAGTACAGAAACCGACCAATCAGCGTGTACAACGAAACAAAAATATGTACAGTAGATATAGAAACAACCGTAGACGAACAAAGAATAATACGACCTAACACTTGAGATGGTCGCGCGCTTTTTTCCCGGGTAATTGAGCATTTTCTCTCGTTGACTCTGTACATACCTAAAACGATCCTCTGCTCAAAGCTGAGCTAAGCTGCTAGCACACACGACTCTACGATTGTTATTGCGGTTATTTTTTGTGGTACGATAGTACCATAATAGATCGACTGCTGATACTTTACCTTTTTCGTCTGGTAGATGAAGCCTCTATATGATCAGTATTCCGTACGCGTCCGTCCGACTTGCTGAAACTGCACGCCGGCTGACACACACACCCACACACACACACCCACACGCACACAAACACACACACAAACACACAACCACACGCACACACACACAAACACACACCCACACGCACACGCGCACACACACAAACACACACCCACACGCACACACACACAAACACACTCCCAAACACACACACAAACACACACCCATACACACCAACAAACACACACACAAACACACACCCATACACACCAACAAACACACACACAAACACACACCCATACACACCAACAAACACACACATACACCCCAACAAACACACACATACACACACACACACATACGCACACACAGGTATATATAGCTCGCCTTGAAAGACCAGCTTACGTGCTAACTGTAGACTTCACCCGACCATCCGGAGCCCTGACGCTCGACGTGAAGTATATCAAGGAAGGACTGCCATACACTGCTCCATTTTGCTTCGATATGTCGTCGTTTTGAGTCACCGCCGACGTCCGGAGACGATCCGGCTGCCGACATCGTCGTACTGTATTGACTGTCGAAATTTATGTACGTAACACAGTTTCGCAATGATCCTCCAAACAAGTGAACATAGAGAGGGAGAGACAGAGATTAAGGAAATGAACGTCAACCGCATCCGAATGTCGAACGGTTCGGGTCCTATTGAGCACGAGACAGTGTCCTGTTTGAAGCGGTGACCGTACGAATACTGGCGGACTCTACAGATTGGTTTATTGGCAAAAATCACATAGTGAATGATGTGCGGATTCTGGCGATCGTGATTTTTTTTCCTTGTGAATCTTTTTTTCGTCTATCCTGGGTGTAGACCATAAGTATACCTGAAATATCCATTTGAAGTGACGGCGACGTCACGCTGACTGTGAAGCGCAGCGACAATACCAATGAAGGTAATGAAGTTCCGACCGAGCACGACCGGACGACAAAAAAAAACTTCTGGAGAACGTTGCCGGTTCAGGGAGAGATCACGTTGGACCGTCTTAATTAGGCCAAACTGTTGTTTTTACAGGCGCTACTTCGACCGGTATTTGCCTATGTGTTGGCTGTTATTCGTGATTGTGTTAATCGAAAAATTTGCTGCCTCACCCACCACCCAGTGGGTACGTACATAGGCGGGTAGCTGTTTCTGTCTAGCATTATATATCTCGCATTAATAAATTTGATGTAAAAGTAGCGGCGTTACTATTGTTCTCGTAGATCGTTAGAATGTTTTAGAACTGTTATGCCACGTGTGTGCTGCCGATTTGCACCGGGCAACATAATATTGCACTATAAACAACGTATTCTGATCTTCTCTTTTCATTTCGTTAGTGCTATACTGGTCCAAGTTACAGCCTAGGCCAGATAGCTATGAAACTACGATAGAAACGAGCTACCAGTGGCTCGATCCCGCTCTATTGTTGTCGTTTTCGGTGGTGTCGTTTCAGCCATAAAAAAATACGTGCCACATGTACGACGTAACATCGGACCTTTACAGAAACGAAGCAACGCTTCAAGGTATTAACGCCCGCCTTGAACTACATGTGTCCGCGTATCAGACGCCATTAATATGGTTGTACAGATGATTCGCAGCTAGCACATCGTTCTAGTATGGCTTTAGTTCCGACAACACGAAAAGACTGAACGGGCAGAGGGGTACGAAGCAACGATGAAGATTCAAAAGAGCCGTAAACCGTTGTCTTCGCATGTATGCCTTTAGACTGATAGCGATTTCGACAACAGGAACGGCGTCAGTTGCTGCTGCTTCTGCTATTCGCAATGGGACGCACTCTAGCTCAGCCTTACGTAAAAATTCGAATAGATATTGTCCGATAGGATTATACTTACCACTTTATACATATATATGATGCTATCGCGTTATGAATGTATGCTAACACATACGCCAAGAAGGTAATTAGAATTGACATTGGGCTTCTTGTTTCGTAAACGATCAATCATAGGTCAGAATCACTCGTTAGTTAGTGCATCCCGAAAATGTTAGGAAACAACAGACACAACTATCTCCCGTATACCCCTTCCCTGCGTCGACGTTGCTACCTGAAGTTGAAGCCGGCCACTGATTTTCTGCCGATTATGTTCACAGATTTTTTGTCTCCTTCTACGTTCATTTTGCAGCACCGGTAGCGGCTGCAGCGGCCAGTAAAATTACATCAGCCGAGCCAGTGATGGTGACCAATGCAATAGACTACTGTGAACGACATAACTATTTTTTTTCTCTCGCTGGTCCTTTTTCTGCCTGAACGAGTGCGACAACAGTCATTCGTCTGCGTACTTCACAATGCCTCATCACCGAGTTACTGTCTTCCGCATTTTACGGTCAAGTAGTGAAGCACGCTGCAAAGCCAACCCGGCAGCATGTCAGCATTCACGTCTCCATTGATGTTATCATCAGTGCCAACAACACCATCATTGTCGTCATTATTCTCATCATAAAGTCGCAATCAGAGCCGCAATGACACCTGCAAAGGCACTTACTGCTGTTGGTGCCGCGCCACCTGGTGCGCGGGCACATGCACATACACACACACGCAGACGTAGAAATGCGTTTCTATAGAAACAGTAGCGCCTATAACAGTAGATATGAACGTGAAGCAGGTGAAACGAGGGGGGCCAGGGGGGAGATGACAATCTTAGTGAGAAAAGAAGCTTGCGAACCAACCGGGAATAGTAAACAGCCAGTTAACAGTGAGCAATTGGTGGACAATATACGCCCTGTATTCGATGGCAATGGGCAAGTTGTCGATGCAGCTGTAAAAGTCGCAACATTAACATAGGCGCTATAGACGCAGCCTGTTTGCCCCTTACCCCTTGCCTCGCCCCGTGTCTGCTTGTGTTCGAAATCATCCAGGCTCCATTGAATGTCGTTCACTAGACGCCCTCAGACGCGCGTACTCGTCTTTCTTTTCTGAAGAATGGACAATATAGGAATTGAGGAAAGAGCCATGAACATAAACAAAGAGATGGGATAAGAGAATACGTGTTGCTTTTTTTCTCGCCGCCTCTTCCTGTCGGTCGTTTTCCTCAAGCTGCTTCGTCCATAATGCTTAGAGGCTGTTACCGCTCGGAACTAATGGATAATGACGCCGAATTGAGGATGAAGGGATGCGAAGCCTCAAAAGACCTGGCCTAAGGCGAACAATACGAACGATATAGCAAACTGCAACAGTAGAACGGGGCAGCAACTGGCATGATCTGGCGAAATCAATCTGAACACGTACTGGCCAAAGCAAAGTAAAGCCGAGGAATAAAGGGACAGCGTCTGTTCTGCTTCATCCGTTGTTATAGCACAGCCTGCTTCAGCTTAAGAAGATCCTTGTGTTGTTAGGGGAATCCGTCTGACGCGATGACTGCCTGGAAAGATATCGTTGACGATGCCGCAAAGTAGCTAAAGCGGCAACGGTAGATACAAGAAAGTCGAAACAAGCACAAAAGTCTATCTTTGAACGCAGCAGGTGTGACACTGGTTTCTAGATGATTTGGTCAATTTGCTTATTTCGAGTGACTCAGGTACCGTATCGAAAGATACCGATCCTATACGAAATCTTAAAACTAGAGTTGTCTTTCCCTATTATATACTAAAGTTTTTCGCCGCTGCTGCTTTTGTTTATGTAGCCTCCATTTTCCTGAAATCATATAATTGCATCTAAAACATAGAAAATGCAGAAGATTGGTCTTGAAGCATGTTACATTGAAAAGTCACACGATATTACCTGAAATTAGTCTGTATTCGCGTGCACATACAAGGGACCGTGTGGTGTTCTATCGCGATTCAACTGCAGGTATGGCTAGCATGAGAAGATCGTAGAGCCTGCAATAGAAAAATCACCTTCAGACTGAAGTGAAGACAGTTAGACATTCGTCATAGTATTGACTAACGTCTGACACAATTGTACCGTTGCAGTCGCACCCTAAATATTTGGGACAGATCGGTGTTGCGTCTGTTGAACGACTAGGTTAGTGCTACTAATAATGACAGTGCGACGAGATACCAAACGAGTGGTACTAATTGGGCAGCCCAGGCCGAGTCGTCGCCCAAGATTCCTGCCACCTGAATCCGCAAAGCTGGTTCACTTGTCTCTGATGAGACTGTCTCACGTGCCCGATCAGGCATATCGCTGGGAAACGCATGGCAGTGGAGCACCAGACTGTGCCGATACTGCGATCCTTCCACGGATCACAAGTTAAGTGGGAAACACCCAACGAGACCTAAGCCGTGTGTGTGTGTGTTAGCGTCAAGTACGAAAAACGATAACAGCACATCGATATATTCTATACTACATAAATACACTGCGATATGTATGTGGCGATTGACGGCGAGCTATAGTCGCCCATCCCTTGAGGTTGATTCGGATAGAGGCATGACTGGCGTATTTCTGCTTGTGCGAGGAAGACAGCCACAATCAGGTCAACGAGCAAAATGCAATTATGATAATAGAAATACTACATGGATTGTTTGTTGAAACGTATGCGATACATCGCGGGGACCTTTGACCTTGTTCTATTCTACGGCTTTATCACTTGCCTAGCTGTTCGTACGGTTTTGTCTCAGTTACATGAGGATAAAAACGCACACCCCCGAAATGATTACATTGAGGAAAGTAATATATACCGCTTATCACTGT